GAATCTATTACTTTTTTTTTTTTTTTAAGCAGCAGCTTGAATCTCTGCGTGTACTGTAAAGCTATCCAAGTGTCACTTTACTGGACATGCATTTTGCTGAAAGACCTTTAGTACCAAAAGAAATTAGTTAATGTAAAATGCTATCCAAAGTGTATGGAAAATTACTAGTGCTAATTGAGCTATAATCATAATTAGCAAAGCCATTTTAAATCACCATTACCTAAGTGAAAAAACTCCCCATTGTACATTAAAGAAAAGTAAATATAAACAAACAAAATGGTAATTTAATGGTCTACTGTGCACCATTGTTTTAAGCTGCTTTTTTGCCTTTTCTTTGATAGCTGACTGGACATTCAAATCAATGGGTAAATTTGGAGGTCATCCTTCAGGCAATAATGAGCAAAGACTTCAGGATTTGATCCAGTGATTTAACAATACAGCAAGCTTATTATTAATTGTGGGCATGCATTTGGACTTTTAGATCAGTGGCGGAGAGATGAGTATCTGTGTAAGAGCCACCACCTTGGCTGACACAACTGGGATGTGAACCAGAGACATCTAGAGCTAAAGCATGAGCTCCTGTAGCTTGAGCTAGAACTCCCTAGCTGCAGTTGTAACAACACATATCCTCTGTAGAGCAGCACAGAGAGGGATCTGGAATGTACTGACCAGTGGGTTACATACCGCCTCTGGAAGGCATAACACACACTAACCAGTGGGTTACATGTGCATTTTGAGAATCTCTCATCAGCTTCCAGGTGAACAAACTCCAGTGAACAAACTATGATTTACCCAAGTACAGTTGTACTGGGTGAAGGGGAAGAAGCTGGGAACCCTTTTCTTCCCTAACGCTCCTGTACAGCCATCAATTATAGATTCATAGATTCTAGGACTGGAAGGGACCTCGAGAGGTCATCGAGTCCAGTCCCCTGCCCGCATGGCAGGACCAAATACTGTCTAGACCATCCCTGATAGACATTTATCTAACCTACTCTTAAATATCTCCAGAGATGGAGATTCCACAACCTCCCTAGGCAATTTATTCCAGTGTTTAACCACCCTGACAGTTAGGAACTTTTTCCTAATGTCCAACCTAGACCTCCCTTGCTGCCGTTTAAGCCCATTGCTTCTTGTTCTATCCTTAGAGGCTAAGGTGAACAAGTTTTCTCCCTCCTCCTTATGACACCCTTTTAGATACCTGAAAACTGCTATCATGTCCCCTCTCAGTCTTCTCTTTTCCAAACTAAACAAACCCAATTCTTTCAGCCTTCCTTCATAGGTCATGTTCTCAAGACCTTTAATCATTCTTGTTGCTCTTCTCTGGACCCTTTCCAATTTCTCCACATCTTTCTTGAAATGCGGTGCCCAGAACTGGACACAATACTCCAGCTGAGGCCTAACCAGAGCAGAGTAGAGCGGAAGAATGACTTCTCGTGTCTTGCTCATAACACACCTGTTAATACATCCCAGAATCATGTTTGCTTTTTTTGCAACAGCATCACACTGTTGACTCATATTTAGCATCTTATAATGTGGTTGCCTGTGCTTCTTGAGCTAAAGAGGAGGTGGGGATAGACTAAATTGATGGTTTTTGGTAGGAAATAGCTATGACTACAACCGTATCTCTCCCGCCTCAAGCAGTTACAGGATGCCAGTGCAAACTGTGTAGTAACTGACATTTGTAAGTTTGTGAGGGAGCCACCACTGACAACGATGACCAAGAGCTCTGTTCCCACCACTGACCAGATGCCTGCAGAACTGCCAATGTGGCCTCTTGCCATAGAATGAAGAGCCAGTTCAAAGGAAGAGCCCACTGAGCTGCAAGGTACTGGTATATGCCAAAAGCAGAAGAAAGAGAGGACTGTTCCATTTGAGCTGCCTCTCGAGGGGGAGGAATGATGTGAAGAGACAGGAAGAGAGGATTTTTCTGGAGAAACGTCAGAGGAAGAAATTGAAAATAAGAGGGAGAGGTAATGATGAGGCTCTTGGGTTAAGGGGTCGGAGGAGGAAGAGATGGAGAAATGTGGAGAGAGAATTTAGGGAACAGTGAAAGCAGAAAAGGTGAGCAAAGGTTGTATACAATCGGAGAGCACAGAGGGTGAGCAAGGGAGGAATGGGGAATATGAAAATTTAAAAAAAAGGATGAGGAAAGCTCACACTGCCTTTCAATGAAAGAAAAGGGAATGCAAAAGAGTGAATTTTAAAGAGGATGCAAACTATAGACAAATGAGAGAGAAAGTGTCTGGAAATAGACTGACTACAGTGATCTATGTCAAGTCTTACAAAATACAAGTTCCTCATTCCACAGCCTCTCTTAGGTTGGTCTCTTTGTATATTCACAAGTCAGTAAAGGAGTATTTGCTGCTGATCTCATCCATGGGTGTGTTTTTAAATATATTTGTAAAAATATTTAAGCTCCAAATGCAACAGAATGACCTGGACAAAAGGAGAGAAAACAAAAGAAAGAAATGCAAAGAAAGAAGGGAAAGAAAGACAAACAATTTCTAGGTAATACCAACGTATAAATAGGTTAGTGATATACCTTAATTATGTTCTGTTATTTTATTGCCTCACCCTAGCAGATACACTCTGCATCTGTGGAAAAGAAGGGGAGGGTTCCCTGTTCCGAGGATTCTGTGGGGCTACTCCTCCTTCTCACACTGGGGTAAATCAGAAGTAACTGCTTGGAATTTAATGGAGTCACTGTGGGGTGATGGGAGACACAGGCCCTATAGGTGAATAACTGGAGAAATGGAGAGAGAGAGAGCCTAAAAGTTACCAGAAAGAACATAAGAACTTCCAGTGGATGGAAGTGTTCATAATATGGGGGGGGGGAAGAATGATAATCCCTCAGATCCCCAGTTTATTGACAGGGTTCCTACTGTCCTTCACTAATGAATCTCAAATATGAGCAGCTATTCATGTACCCCAGCACGAACTGAAGACACCACTTTGGCAGTAGAGGAGGCTGACAGCACAGTCACCTGAAATCGCTATGCAAGCCCTTTTTTCTTGTGTGTCAGGTAAGAATGGTGGAGAAGAAAAATAAGCCCTCTGGATGGCTCTTCCGCACATCCCAAGGCTGACCCGGTACAGCATACCAAGATATGCCACACAGTAACAAAAAATAACTATTGTACCCATAAAATTACCCATAAATATCAAATACTAATATTTAAAAATGTTAGGCTCCTAGATGTCTCTAATTGGTTTGAGATGGAAGTGTTACTTTTTATGGATTTGAGCTTGTGTGAGTAAATTTGAAACCTGTAAAACTTTATGGACTTTATTGAATCAAATCATTCAGGACTGTGTTCTCTGAGTGCAGACACGTGCATTTCTGGAAGTACAGGTGTTGCAAAAAGACTGCCCAGCTTTGTTGTAATTTTCCATAGCAGCATGCAGAATGGACTATGACATACTTCAGCTTGATGAAGTGCAGAAAAATGGGAACATACAGAGGTTTAAAAGATGGCCAAGAAATCATTCAGATAAAGCCAGTCATACAAATGTGCTGGGTTTTGTATTGCCACGAGGAAGAAAGTTGATGAGAGACAGGAGCAGGAGAAGAAAGCTAATGAGCAGAAGGAAGAACAGCACTACGTATAGGGATAGCTAGAGCGAAAGAGGGCACTATCAACAGGAGGAAAAGTATATAGAAGAGACAGAAGCTAGAGAAGAGTGAGGAGAAAAGGGGACCCCAATTTTTAAGCTGAGAAAAGGTCCTGGAACTTGGCAGAAGTAGTAAGTAAGGATAGAATGGGATCCTGAAAGCATAAAGAGCTTACAAAGTTGGAAAAGTTCCCACAGCAGTGTGGGTTACTGCAGACCATATTGTCTCTTGCACCAAGAGCTGCTTGGCAGAGGGGAGTTGTCAGAAAGCTAGTTACAGCTCCCTGATTCTCGATCAACCCCAAACCTCAACTTCAACTTAAGCTGGCACAACCTAGGGACTGTCTTACATTTATAACAGATGGCTCTGATCCCTAAGGAACACACACAAGTGTTGAGAATTAATGTAGATGAATGAATTCTTAAATTAGCAGCTATGGCCAGGTTCCCGCCACTATGTGTCACTCAGGCAGCCCAAAGGGGTCCAGACATAGGCAGAGATCAAGTATGGAGGGGGATGCCCAACACAAATTTGAGATGCATGAACAGAGGCAACTAACAGGAGAGTTTTAGAGGGAGTTTGGAGAGGGAGCGTGAAAGGCTTTCCTTCTAGGTTCAGCTCTATGTGCAATTTCAAGATGGTGAGCACTAGAACAGTGGGGGTGACCTGCAATGGAAGTGCCACATTTTCTTTTTTCCCTGAAACCAGAGGGGACTTCCTGTGCATGAAGTGCAAGTTGGTGGCTGTGCTGGAGGAAAAGTTTCTTGGATCGGAGGGGCAAGTACAGACACTACTGAGAATAAGAGAGGCTGGGAGCCTAGACAGCCAAGTTTGGTTTTGTGGAATATTGGTCCACCTTCTATGGTGAGAGGGGATAATATAGTCTGGATGGGCTCCACCTCAGCAGAATGGGAACCAATCTCCTGGGAGAAAATGTAGAAAATTAGAGAGGAATGAGGCAAGAGCACAATGGAAGAAAAGAATCCTAGTATGTTTAGTTAGGTATCAGTCCTCCTCATTGCTACTGTTCCTAGTTCCACAGGCACAAATGAGGGGTAGTCTAGAGATATTGTTAAGGTGCACATGAGTTGTTTAATTTGTGGTATAAGCTATAAATACTTCTGTTTTTTTCTCCCCAGACCTTCCCACCCCCAGCTGAGTTTTACATTTTAACTCCACCTCAGAGATCAGTCAGGATGTAACAAAACAGCACTGATAGAAAACCCCCAATTACACCTTTGAGGGGGACATCAAGCCAGATTCTGATCTCAGTTACTCCAGATTTATAATAGGCTATGTCTACACTACAGCTTATGTCAGCATAATTTATGTTGCTCAGTGGTGTGAATAAACCATTCTGAAGACTAAAAGAAGTCTCCCTCTTCAGTTCCCTCAGGATACTCTAGATGAGATGGCCTGACTGTCACCTTGGAAGAGCACTCCTCTATTCTCTGATTTCAGGGGACTTCCTGGACTCCTACAGTTAATGAAAAACTCCTCAGTATACATGATAATAGAGAAGACATGGTACTGACCTAACATGTGTAAGGTGAGGCTGGTACAATCAACCACATGCTGATTTTAATGGGGCTACTGCCATAGAAGCCGCTTAATTTACACCATTAAATTCCCACTCTACTGAGTCTTATATGCTTTGTGGCTCAGCACCCATGGATCTAATTTCATTTAAACAGAGTCCGAAGTTAGCATTATTTTAAACCCAATATAAGGCTGCTTCCAAAACACATGCCATTGCTTGTTCAGAAGCCAACATCAAAAGGGGGATTGTAGTTATCAATTCATTTCATTTCATTTTTGAAAAATCCTTTGCTAAAAAGTTAAGGATTGTAATGGGCTGAGAATAAGAAAGAAAATTGAAAGAAGGTCAGGTAGCAAGTACTAGTTCCGGAACTAGCAAAAGTGCAAGTACATATTTGGCATTTTACAGTACCTTCAGGCTTAGTTTGATTAGTTATTAAAATTATGGTTGGCCTACGGGGAGAATCACGATAATTGGTATAGGTCATAGATAATCAAAAGTGTCTCTCCCAGTGGGATGAAACCTATTAAAATCAGATATTTAAATCTCTTTACACTTACATATTCCATTCACGTGCAAAATGACTTGTCCCAAATCGAAGTCTCTAAGGAAGAACTCAGACATTGTTCTTTATTTGGTGCCAATTAACATTTTCAAGAGGTTTGAGACAGACTAAGCTCAGTATACCCCAAAGAAATCATTCTTTCTAGCTGCCAGATCTTTGCTTTATCTCATTAAAAGAATTAACTTTTAATCCTCTGAATGCTTAGATGACTTTAACTGACATCTCAAAGGCTAGTATCCAAAAAAGAATATTAAATATAGCATATTATTGCTATTGTGAGGATCTGAATTTAAGACTCATGTTAATCAGATCTGTTTTTATTACTGATTCAGAAACCTAGCTTTGTTATTAAAACTGCTATTGCATTATTAATGTCTACGTAGTCGTCATAGAAATAACACTTAATAAGATGGGAAGAGACTGAATGAAACTGAACTATATTGGCTGAGCTAACCAAGTTCAAAATCAAAGAGAATTCACACACACAAAACAATAATACATGGGAAAAAATGACCAAATGTGATAGTCATTATACCAGGCTATTTATTAATGAAAAATACGTTGTTTCTCTTTAGGTGTCTGATAATCCCCCATTGACTTCAATAGGCACAGGATCAACTCCTAAATACTTCATGGTGATTTTTTTAAAGTTTAATTTGCATTTTATTCACAGCTAAAACTAAGAAATCCATCTAAGCTTTATATGCCAACAAAACCTCATTGTGAGAGCACAACTGATTAGGCCGAAATCTTCTGCAGAATGAAGCAAAAGTAATATATGAAAGACATGTGTTACTATTTTTAAAGGTAAAGTCAGAGAAAATGTATCCTAACAGGTGACTAACATCTATACAGCCTGGAGACTTGCCATTCAAACCACCTCTTCTTGTCACTAATATTCCAGCTATTTTTTTTTCTAATTTAGTCAGAACTAAAAAGAAAAAAGAGACTTTCCTTTTCTGTTAACTGCAGTTCATGGAGAGAATGTAAAGCAGTTAATTTAGCCCATAATGACGCTTGCAATTGGTCCATTCATGTGTGCATTTGATGGTTTGGCTAAAGTTCAGATTTTAGCTTTAAGCTTCACTTCAGTGCCAAATGTCAATGTGCAGTTCGGTGTTGCCATTTAGACTCCATAATGTCATTCTAATCTTAGATGTGATAAAAAATCCTTATACATATTATACAGTATTGTTTGTGGCTCATTCATTATTCATGTATCCGTTTAGCCCTGGTGAACACTGCGCCTTGGTTCTCTTTCACTGAGGTGTAAAAATAAATTCTCCTGTAGTCCAGAGTGTTTATCCACCAAAAATAATGGGATCGGGGAGTGAGGGAGGGGGAAGAGAGGCATCATGGTTATTTGCCAATCAAGTAAATATATTCAAAAACAGGTTTTAGTCAGTTTGACAAAAGTTCCAGCATTCACATTGCATCCTACTCCTGTTCCGGTTTGAAATTAATCTCCTTCTCACCACATGTATGAAAAATAGTATGAGAAAGTGTCAGATCTCCACAGACTGCAGTCAATCTATGCTGGATGTGAATTCAATGCACTAGCATTTTGCATGTACCACAATAAGATGTGAAATAGAACTAGGAATTTTTTATGAGCTATTTGCAATTCAATTTTCTAATCTACCTGGAGTGAAATGCTCTATCATCAAAGCCTAATTTAACATTTTCTTTGTTGCCCAGAGAATGTCCTTTTATATATCTTTATAAGCTACTTTTTAAAATTGTAGAATGAATGGATTCATCTTCACAAGGGAAAGAAAAAAAGCCTCCCAATCAGGGTCAGATCAGCAAAATGACCACTCTAAAAGGTACTTGGCATTGGTACAGAATGAGCAGGTCCTGATTTGTCTAACTAATAAAAGGAGTCCTCTGCTACCCCAAGTGGTGCCCATTAAGAAAATATGTTGCCCTTGCTATCTGTATTGGTTTTTCAAGGAATCAGGGCTGATCCAGTCAACGTCTCAAGTGAGAACATACTAGTACTACGCTGCTAAGTATTGCATCTTCTGTAGACAAATCTATCATCTGCCGTGCCTACTGTTTGGATCAGTGAGTACTGAGAGATTGAAGGGGGCGGGGGAGGGGGACAGAACAGGGAGGGAACCAAGGAATGAGAGCACAGATCTTTTTAAGAGGTGGCAGTTCTGAATCAGAAGGGTTATGAGTAGCAATACAGGAAACCTGAGAGATATTTACTTAGGGGAAAGCTGTATATTTAATCTGAGTGCAGAACCAGTGAGTGCCCTCTTTTGTGTTGCCTCTTTCAGATTTCTCTCTCCATTTATTTTCTTTTCTGTTTTCTCACTTCCCCATTTTGTTTTTCCTCCTTTTTTGACTCTCTCCCTTTCTCCAAGTACTTCTTTCTCCTCTCATCTCCTGTCTCACTTCTTGTTCCACTTTCTCCCTAACTGACCCACTATTCTGTGATTTTGCTCCTAACCCTCCCATACCCTTTCCATCAGCTTCCATTATATATTGCTTCTTTTTTCTCTAACAGCTTGCTCTCATGCAAGGCTCAGTAACGGTCAGACACTGGGAAAGCAGAGACACTTATAGCAGCCAGATCTGATAAAAATGTGTGCATACACTTGAGCCCAAATCACTTAATGTACAAACAACTTTGGGTTGATAAAACAGAGCCTGTGGAACCTTGCAAAAGATTCTCCTTAAGATAAATGACCCTAAACGAACCTCTCAGGGAGGAAGGAAAGGAAGCAGTCTAAAGAGAACCATTTACCTAGCTAGTGACCTGTCAGTTAACAGAACCTCCTGCTCAATGGTATCAACCGCTGTTAGTTAATTAACAAAAACAACTGGTATTGCCCATCATCTTTAGGAGATCAACTCTCACCAAAGTATAATACAAATGAATCTGAAATCAGACTGAAAGGGATCTAGGAAATAAGCACCCTTTGGGTAATATCTTGTCACAACTTTTTCAATAGCCTTCCCAAAAAAGGAAGATTAGTCTATGTCTACACTACGCAGCTTTTAGCGACAGGGCTGCGTTGATACAGCCGTGCCACTAAAAGGCGCGCCGTGTAGCTGCTGTTTGTCAGCTCTCCTGCCAACAAAAAAAAGTCCACCCCCAACGAGCGCCGTTAGTGGCAGGAGCACTCTCCTGCCGATAAAGAGCTGTTCACACCGGTGCTTGTCGTCGGAAAAATGTTTGTCGTCTTTCGGGGGGGGGGGGGGTTTGTTTTTTTTTAACACCTCTGAAAGATAAAAGGTGTGTCATTCAGTTGCCAGTATAGACATCACCTTGGAGACAGGGCACTATGTGAGGGGATTGCCAGCATCAAGTGATAATTTCTTTAAGAGTCTAACAATTGCTCATTTGATGGAAGCTGTAACTTTACTTTCCCACAGGAAGGCATTAATAATTTCCACTGTCAATAGATCTGGTATATTGCTCACTTGCTTTAACAAGCCATAAAGGGCAAGGGTCCTAATTGCAGGCCAGAGTTCCCTTAATATCTCTAAAACCTCATGGGTGAAACTGGCTGAAATACAATGAGAAAAACATGCATTTGCCTGTTGTATTCAGACAAGGTCTGCTGCCACTGTGGCAGCCGATGCATTCCAAAACTAATCAATCCTTCCTATGAAGTAGGTAGAAAATTCCTCACAGCCTGTAAGATCTGACACTGTTTCCAAGTGGAGGCATCAAGATTTGGGAGGCTGACAGTTACTTAGCCACATATGACTTGATGGATGCCATATGGGGCAGGGAGGGGTAGTACACTTTATTCACCTCTAGTGCAGCACATTAAAAAAAAAAAAACCTCCACCACAAACAAATCTGACTCAAAACACAGCTGCTGCCATCCATTCTCTAATCTCCTTCACATAGATTACATCTGTTGCAGATATTCTATATATTAAAGGATGAAAAGAGGGAGAGGATGTTTGATCTTGATAGACATGGACAAAATACCCTGCAGGCTCACTGTTGATGGTGTGGGAGGACATGATAATTTTGTCCTTGGCTATTAAGGTCAAAAAGCAATTACTCCATCAGGGCAGAGAACATGATTCACTCAAGAGGAGTAATGAGCCCAACTTAGTTCTAGAATTTCTTCAGACTCCTTGGCAGGCCCAATGAAGCACGTCCTCTGCCATGATGGGACCTCAAACTGAGGGACATAAATGTGTCACCATGACCTCCTCGAGCACCAGAGTCCATTGGCTGAATGGACAGCCAATGGTGACTAGCCCTAGGGCTGGTCTTCACTATGGGGGTAAGTCGACCTAAGTTATACTACTCTAGCTACATGAATAACGTAGCTGGAGTTGACATGGCTTAGACTTACCCTGGTGTCTTCACCACACTGCATTGATGGGAGATGCTCTCCCATCGACTTACCTTAATCTTCTCGGGGAGCTGGAGTACCAGGGTTGACTGGAGAGTGCTCTGCCATCAATTTAATGGGTCTTCACTAGACCTGTTAAAATCGATCCCTGCTGCATCAATTGAAGCTGTGTTGATCTCCCGTAGTGAAGACCAGCCCTTGGTCATGAGCCCCAACTTGGTGCCAGGATCAGAAATGCTTTCTTCATCCATCATAGTGATCATTATCAATTCCAGTTTAATGGTTTAGCACTTCAATGTTTAGGTTAGTAGCAGCTGTCCATGAAGTAACCAAATTACTGCAGAGGTATTTTCACTGAAACAGAAGTACAAGTTTGTCTTGTATATGTTGTTGGCCTTTACCTTAATTAATAAATAAATAAAATAAAATAAATAAACCAACAAACTATTCAAGAGAAGGAACTGAGTAATTTGAGAGTGTTATGATTCCTGCACAGGGACAGCAAGGCACATTTGTATTGACTATTTGGTAGTAGTATTAATTAACTGGCAGTGAGGTGAATACATGTAAAAAACCCTTGATAGCTTGTAATTTGTGCTGTTAAGAATAAGGCCAACGCTCTTAAAATGTAACAACTACAGCCTTACAGGCAGGGATTTTTGTTTGGGACTGGTTGGAAACTGAGCAGTGGTTTCTTCATAGCAAGAGGGGCAATCAGGAAGCAGCTACCTAAAGATTGTTGTATAGCTGAGTGAAAACTACTTGGATTTATAAGGTGGTTGTTTTAATCATTAGAACAAAGAAATTTAGGGCAGAGCAGGACCTTTCCCTGGAGGCGACACTAAACTGGTATGCTGAAGAGGAGGGTTTGGCAAGGAACCACCAGGCCTCCATGGGTTGACAAAACCAGAAGATGTTTGAATCATTGTGAACAGGAAGGATCAGTAATCACCCACCAAACACGGTATAGTCAGTACCTCACTTATTCACGGAACATGGGGTACCACTCTCCAACAAGACGGCGGATGTATTTTTGGCCATTTGAGAGAGAGGGAGGGAGGGCGGGCATTGTTAACTATCTGGAAACCTGGCTGAGGGTCGGGGAAGGCAGCCAAACTGTTTGCCACTGCTTCCTTTTAGCAGGTGCCCAGTTCAGGTACTTGTTCCGTAAAGCGTCCAGTTTCCTGTAAACTGGAATTGGAAGTGGACTTAGGGGAAAGACATCCCCTGAAGTAGATGTGGATGTCTGTACAGTGATGAAAGAACCTAGTTCCATACGAGGTAAGGGTGGTGAGATCCCAGCAATGGGTTGGTGGTAGGAAAGAGGTAGAAAAGATTAAGGAAGGACTCATGACCTGTGCTATGAGTTATTGAGAGAGTTCCTAGATCAATTAAGTTCAAATGACAACCTAATTAAACTACATCCTTTGCATCTTTTCTTTCTTCCCACATGTCTAGGACAATAATTAGTAATTAAGGAAAACTACATACTTCATTCCTGCCCAGTGTTACAGCATTTTGCGCCACTGCATTTTAATACTTTCTTTTAATAGTTATAAAAGACCAGGATATCTTCATTAGCACCACATTATATGCTAAAGTACAGAAACATCTATTGTGCAATTACATAGTTCATTAATAAAACATGGCTCAACTTTTCTGGACTTAACTTCCTTTAACATGATAAAAATTATACTTCTGA